GCATCTGCTCAACACCTCACAGTCGATACCATCCCAAATAAACCCTGACTATCTCTCCAGGCAGCAGCAGATATCAACCTGACTGCCTGGGCTCAGGCAGGGTAGGCAGCTGCCTGCCCAGGTAATCGCTGCCTTTGCCTGTGCCCCTGCGCTCCTACTTGTGCTCCCTGTGCCCAGCTGCCCCAGGGCCCCGCGTTGCCCTGCCTGCCCGCCGCCTGCCTTCGTTCCTGCTCTTTTAGGGCTCTGAGAAACCTCCCCACGTGGGATCAGATATGAGAGTCTGCGGGCAGAGGAAGGGAACTTGTCAGAAGAAAAGAGGGTGTATGGTGGGTCCAGGCTGGGTTGTACCCCTGTACCTTGTAACATCATACTAACTTTATATTAGATTTGGTCAAAATATCTGGGAGTTTGTTTTTCTACTTTGTAGGACCCTCTGCTTCTAAAACAGTCTGTAGATGAGTAAGCCACAAGCCCATGCTTGTGTTTTCTGTTAGGGACTTAGTGACAAAAAGGTGTTGACTCCAATCAAAGTTGCCTATGTTACCTGTATAGCTAAATAAAACTCAGGGGTTTTCTGAAGTTCCAGGTATGGAGATTCTGCCTCTGCACTGGTTCCCGTGTTTCTTGCTGGCATTATAGACATGCTGGAGCCAGCCTTCAAGGATGACCCCAGCAAACAGTTGCACTTGAATTCCTACTGAAGGTGGTCTCCAAAATTACTTCATTACGTTTTTAAAGCCAAGAGAAAAGAGTAATTTCTTTTATAGTTTCCTCAGGCACATTACATAAGGTAAAGAAAGAAGAGAGATAAAACATAAACAACTGATTTACTGTAAGAAGGGCAAAGTCTACATCTGTAGAATGTTTTGGTTGAGGTGATCTTAGTGGGTCCTCTGCTTATGCATTTATCTATAGATATATGCAATTCTTACAACTTTCTTGTATTTTTATATTCCTGAACCCATAGTTATAGTAAGAAAGTCTGTTCCCACCTTAAAATATACCAGACAAGAAAGTAAGATATGACCCTCAACTCATTTCCTGCTTAGTAAAAAGTTTGACTTGAGAGGGGTCAGACTGTTCACATGCAGCCTGTGTGTAAACACATTGCACAAACAGGAACCTGTTTAAATATGACAAAAAAGAGGAAGTATTTCTAACAAACCTGGTCGTGTTTCAGCTATAACAGGATCTGTGACATCTGATGGTTTCCCAACACCAGCCTGGTTTGTCGCCCGTACACGAAACACATAGCTCACACCTTCTTTTAGGCCACCTATCTGGAGGAAGCAAATGTATTTGCATGTAATACATGCATGATGTATTACAGACTACTGATTTTTATTTCACACTTCTTACAAGTCCAGTCTGGAATGCTTGACAACTATATTTCCTTTCTTTTTGTTTTGCTCCTTTTCCAGTTGACAAATATTTCTTCCTCGTGTTTGGTTTTTTTTTTAAATTCCAGAGTGACATGACTGATCTGTTTGGCTTGCTCCTTCCTTGTATGCATAGCTAACATTTAGGCAGCGTCATTACTGTCATTGGTTTCTTTGCAAAAGCAGCATTGTTATTGGAACAGGATGTTTTTAACTCATGTACATTGACCTCTGAAACAGCATAGTCTTTTACTGCAGTAAAGTCTTTCTGGCTTTTAAAAATGAAATTATCAGGGTAATAAGTGCCAGCCACACCTATTTAGAAATAGGAGGGCATTTAATTGTACAGATTTAATTGTAGGGACTTGAAGAATCATACTGACATTATAACACCTGCAAATACTCCTTTAAAACATGTATGAAAGGATCACACTTAAAAGTAAGTTGTCTTTCAAATATTCTGAAAAGCATACAAATAGCAAACCTACTTAAGACGTATCTCTAGAACAGAGACACAGCTGATCCCTTATTTAGAAGTCATTCCACAAAATGATGTAGCACAATAGTGCAAAAAGCTTGGGTTTAACTTGCTGTGAAATGTGAGGAGAAGGTACTTTTTATTAGAAAGAATCACCTGCCACATTATCACAACACCTATTTTTGTGCCATCTGTTTTTGTGTAGTGATACCTATCTTGCCCTTTGAGCTAGAAAATGCTAGGGTTGCCTCCTGCATTATAAGAATGGTATTTGGTTCTAGCAGTGCTTTCTTTTATTTTTAGGCTTGTCATACCGGATTGTCTTCTGAGTTACTATCTTGTCTGACTACACAGGCATTACACGCCTGTATCCTCAGCACAACATAAACTACTATGTATTTCATTAAATGGAACTATGATCAGTGCAGGATGATGCTATTGAAAGCTAACTTCCTCAAGATTATACTGTTATACCAGTATCTGAATCTTAAGCTATTTACCTTCAAGAATTTCTTTTGAAGTGGCTTCTCATTGACACTTCTCCAATGTTCCTCCTTTGCTTCGGTTTCCTTCATATCAACATAATAACCAGCTATGGGACTGCGACCAGTATAAACTGGTTCCTTCCACAGTAAAACCAAAGAGTCCTTCCTAACTTCTGTGCATGCGACATCATGGGGTGGCCCTGAAAGGTAAGAGTAAAAGTTGGAGTTGTGGTATCAAAATAAATCCCAAAAGGGCTAATGCATATGATTTCAAAAACCAAAACCAGACACCATGTTGTACACCCACACCTGACATAACACGTGCAGCTCCTCTGTATCATATCTAGACCGGACATAAATGCAACCCATGCCTATTAAAAAGACTAGCCCAAAAAACAATCCAATTTGTTGAGATTTGGTATCTTGATCAAATATTCATGAACAAACAAAAACGACAAGTAATCTCCAAACTCAGGGAAATAAGTTAATTATTAAGCTAATGTGCTGCTTCAAGGACTGCTCTAAAGTCCACTGAAGTCAATGGAGGTTGTTTTCATTCATTTCAACAAGTGTTAAAAGGCCAGCGAACTGGCCTTGAAGTGATACATTTAGACAAGGGTTACAGGACCTCGTTCTTCTTTGCCTTGTACCTTAGGCAGGTATTTATGTCTACCATTTAAACTAGGAAGCAAAGTGGCAGACAAAGTACAGAAACCAAGCAGGAAAGATAAAGAAAATACAAGCTGCTTGTAAAATGCTACTGATTATAATGGGGGTCGTTTAATGCATCAGTGTAAATGTACTAAATCAAAGTGATGGAGATCCAAGCCTGGGTGTGAACTTCAGTGCTCGTTGACTCCACTGGAAACTGAAGTCACTGAGAACTTAGATAATCAGTCACAGAGCACCCTTGGGCTGTGAGTAACCTCCACCTCCCACTCAGGATCCTACCAGGTACAGCAATGGTCCATTCTTCACATTTGAAGGGCTGGCTGGGTAGGGAGGGTGTCCCAACCCCAGCCAGGTTAGCAGCAGCCACCTGGAACTGGTACACCATATTTTCCTTCAGGTTTTGAATCTGCAGAATCAATAAGATGGTGCTTATTAACTTTGGATTAAAGCTTTAGGAGAAAGTCACAATGGCAATTATTTGACACTTGACATGGCAATTATTTGGCATGCTTTTAAGTGCCTGAAGAGATGAAAACATTATTGATATCATACATAAGGCAATAACTATCTTGGCTTTTCCTCTAATCAGTGGTGGAGCATACATGAATGGTCTTAACACGCTCAAATTGTAAACCCCTTTTCCTATTGATAGACACTCTGGTAGGGAGGGAGGGAGCGAGATATTGCTCAACAATTATATTAATCTATCTCATGATACAGAGCAAGTTCACTTAAGGCAAGAGTTGTCCTCACACTGGGGTGAAACTCAGTCCTGGCATTGCTTTTCATTTGTAAAGCAGCTCAACGAGGTTGTAGCTCGCACTATCTCTAAATTGGGTCAAGAACTGATCACAAAACACAGCTGGCACAGAGCTGGTTCCAGCACCAGCAAGCACTGGGGTAGGTCTGCCAAGCCCAGTAGGAATGCCATGTGTTGTGAGGGCCTGACTTACAAAAACTCAGGCTATGTCTAGAATAGTGCATTCACAGATGACGGTTGGTGCCAGACTAACAGATAAGCGTACAGATAATTTTGCAGAGAAGTTCAACAGAGCTAAATAAATTTATCATCATGGATATAAAACCATCTGAACACCAACCTGTACACTGAATCATAATTCATTCCAATTTGTCTTTGAGGTCTGTTTTGGAAATATTGTCTGCACTCACAGCAATAACAGAAGTTAACCTCTTACCCTGTATGCCCTCTCAGTAATGGCCTTAATGTTGGCCTCCATCCATTTCCCAGGAACTCCATTAACCACTTCACGATAGTTCACGTAGTAGCCAGTAATTTCAGTTCCACCAGTGACTTTAGGTTGTTTCCATCCTAATACCATTGAGTCACGAACACTCTCGAGTACCATGATGTCATAAGGTGGAGATGGAGCAGCTGTTTCAATGTGAATAATATATAAGTAAGGAGTAATATTTCAATAGTCAGACTGGCATTCAGTTACCGTATTCATGTGGCTCCCATCCTGCATTTCCTAATTAGGACGATATTTATGTCGTCAAGGGAAGTTTCTGGAGTTGGAATAAGAAATGCAGGATAAAAGCTTCCGTAAACCAACTGAAAAAATCCAAACTGCACAGGAATTAGCTTTCAGGATCATTTGTTTTTTGAGAAGCAAGCTGATACATAGTGAAAGAATGTGATGCAATTGCAGCTCTGATGTAAGTGATCAGGACTCGCTTTAAAACTGTGAAAAATGAGGAACTAAAAGTAACTACAGGAAAAGTAAAAAAAATGGAGATGCAATGATTTGTTTTCTTTTGCTGAAAGCTTACCCTTTTTCACACATGCAATATTTGTTGTAGTTCCTTTTTTTAAATAGGCCCACATTCTTGCCTTCCGAGAATGGAGTTTATCTGTTCATTCTTTTTTTTTTTTCCTTTTAAATTTATCACTGTGCAAATTTTATCATTGCACCCATCACATGATCTTACCTTAGTGGAAGGAAGCATGATCATAGGCACTGTAGACTGACCAGAAATGGAACATGTCTGTTACTGGAACTTACATTAAAAAATTTGCTGCATAATCCTCTTTTTAATTTTTTTTTTCTTTACAATACAGAAATCATTAACTTCATCCCAACCCGTTTTCTTATTAAGCCTTTTCTGTATCTAGTGGGGAAGTGCTTGCCCACACCCAATATGTCATGCACCGGTGAAGAGCCCTACTTGTTACCCTGAAGACCTACTGTTGATGGAAATCGTACATCATATATGTTACCTTATGTCTTTAATGTTTTATATCAGTGTCAGCTAGCCCCAGGTGCCTCTACTTTGTTTTCTGTTCAACACTTTGCACAAGCCTTTTGAGTCTCACTTCAGAGGCCTGGGGAGGAATTCAGTTCACTGGCCAGGTACCAGGACTTAAATGAAATTCAAGCTCCACATTTCTCAGGCACAATGGGTGTTTAGGTATTGACAACATAAAACGTGATTTTGTGCATGTGCCTTCAACTTGATAGGTTTTCCTCATTACATATTACTGTCAGTCAGAGGTACAACACAACATTCATTAGCACTGTGTCTCAGAGGATAAGCTGTAGCTTAGGCATAAATCCACAAAGGATCTTCATATAGTCTAACACAATACAGATTTTCATGCTTACCATCATAATCAGATTTTGTTTCCTTCACACGTACATAACCCAGAGACGAGGTAAGAAGACTCCTAACAAATTACTGAAGTGATTTAGAAATAATACAGTGTCTTGGAAACATTAATATGTAGTCAAACAAGCTATTAAATTAGTAAATTGATTTATATGTTTCGCTTTCAGTAGCCACTAAGTTTGTAAAGTGGTCTTCGATTACATGCATAATGATCTTAACAGAGAGTTGAGCACATAATTAATGCGTCTGAGGGAAGATGCATCACTGGAGAGCACGTTCATTTGTGGTGTGGACGAGCAGAGGTTACAACCATCCGAAGAGGATGTACTAAAGCAGTGAAATCTATTTATTTTATTAACTCTCACCTGTATCTTTCTTCTTTGTCACTTTTTCCAGTGTCAAAAGATCCCCGGGTTGAGACTTACTTGCCTGCTTAGCAGCAACTTTTTGTGGTGCAGACGTGACAGCGTCCTTAACCATTTCTCTCATGTTATTGTCTCCTGTAGTCCCCAGTTTGTCAGAGCTACTGGGTAATGTGTCTCTATTAAATTTAGCATTGCATTTTAGCAAAGCATCTGTGTCAAAAATAGGCTGGGAGGACTCATGCATGCCTTCCCAGCTGGTAGTGCGGTCTGTTAGTCCACCAGCTTTACCACTCAGTTCAGGACACACACCATGAAGCAATCCTCCCCCTATAATTGCCAGAAAACAGCGAAGACATTTTGAATTAGAATACATTCTCTTTTCTTCATTTAGTCAACAGAATGAAGAAATGCGTACAGTGAACAATACAGCCAAAGTATGACAAATCACAGGTTTTACACACAAAATGTTAAGCCTGAATTCACAAAAATTTGAAATGCATAGAATACCTCTCAGCCTGCTCACAAGTAATGCTCTTTTAATGTCTACTTTTCAGAGCAGAAGAAATATGGAAAGTTAATAGTAGTCTTCATTTGCTACAATTATTTTAGTATTAGATCTTTTAGTATTAGACTTCTAAATTAGTCTATTTAGAAATAGACTTCCAAGTCATATTTCTGATCCTTTCAAGATGATCTCACAAAATTGCCCTAGGCCACATCTCTCTGCTCTAAGGCTGTGAGGTATGCAGTTTTGATACAGATGAGAGTGAGGATATTGCAGACATACAATTTATCCTAGCCCAATCATCTCATTAATCTTTATGGATTAGTTCAGGCAGTGGCAAACAGAAATAATTCATCAACAAAGGGAGAACACACAGGGTTATCGAAGGTTTACAAAAGACGCATTGCACTGATTGTTAGGTTTAGGTATGGAAACAAATTTCTTAGGAACTGACTGTATATAGGATGCTGTGCATTAGAGCTGATAAATACCACATTAGGGAATCAGAATGACATTCCATTTTCCAGGATACCTATGAAGTGAACTTGGCAGTGCTTTCTTACAGTGGTTCACAAGAAACACCTGAAGAAGACTGGATGGTGAAGGTGAACAGTCTACAAGAGTGCAGTTACTGTGAAACTATGGCTGTGAGACCATAGGATCTATGGATAAATTATTATTTGTGGACAGCATTGTAAAACAAAACAATTAGTTACAAATAGTTGCTGCAAACATCTTTACTTAATTAAAAAAAAACATGTTTACCATTGTAAAGAGCAATGGAAAATAGCTTACCAATGGCTGCTTGCACTTCTATAGGTTCCGAATCCTGTGAAAATTCACTGAGTCCCGCTGCATTAACAGCTCTGACTCTGAAAATGTACTTCTCACCGTTGATGAGCCCATGGCATATGAATCTAAAACAAACCAGTGAAGGAATACTTAGAAAGTATTATGAAGAAAATAAAAATCTGAAGGGGGAAAAGAAAGCATTTCTTCTTTAAAATTTATTCTGGTTTCTGAAAACTGAGGATAAACCATGACCCCAGTCACTTAAATGAAGGTCAGAGAATGCAGAATGTACCTATGCACCTCATTCACGCAACGAAGATCACGCCTAAAACCATGTCTCTTT